ATCAGTATGGGAGCGATTTCAATTAGGAATTTCTAAGACGACGAAAACAGCAAAGCAACTCATTACCCCAGGCATCTCTACTGGTTACACCCCCTGATACTGCTACCCAGCACGAACTACCACCACCAGAAGCATTTTCGGCGACACGTTGATTAGGAAGTAAGCGGTCTCACTTTCCGGGGACGGAAATTGAAGATGCCGAAGTGTTCCAATGATTGCACCCCCTTAGATGTCGGTTGTTTTCGATTTTGATGAGAACGAAAAGAAACACAATTGAATAAGGGGACCATCTTGTAAACACTAGAGCAGTCCAAAAAAGACTTGGATGAATTGAATGAAGAAAAAATAATTGAGAGCAGTGTATGGGCAAGTTTTCCATGTATTTTGAGACCAAAGCTCTCCCCTAGAAAAAGAAGAGTAAAGTTTCTAGGGATGACCAATATCTTATTCGAACTAGTTCAACCCAACCTAACTGACTTCCATCGAAGCCATAATGGCTCTTCAAAGCCTAAGTGGCCTGGAATCTGTCTTAGCGTGCTTTACTCAAAAGGGTTTGGTATCAAGAAGTGGAGCACTTGTTTTAGTTGACATATCCAATCGGCTTTGAACCATTGACCTTACTTGTGGGAGCGGTTCCAGCTGACTATCAGTTTAGCGATACATATTGCTCTCCCGAGTGGGACTGTGGGAGCAACGCCCAACTCCCAAGTCTCCGACCTACCAAGTATTAGCATTCCTTCAGTACTAGGTTTTCAATTCCTCGTGCAACCGTCTTCAGAGGCAACGTTTGACATATGGACAACATACATAAGTCACCCATAAGAGTCGGAGCCAGCCAAAGATACAGGCCTTCACGGACTCCGACCATCACTCAATAGTCAACCCTTCCTTTGCGACGAAGAGATGGACGATTCCAAATGGAAATACAGGTGACCACGGCATGACGTATGAAGAACCAGGGGCCTTAGTAGTACTCAGTAAAGACCTCATACCTCTATAAAGTGAATTTCTTCTGAGCGTTTTCGGACAGGATCTTCTATGAGTGACGTACAGGTAGGGGTTTGAAGTCCATGAGCGCCGATGAGCCTGGTTCTTGGTTGCGCCTTGCGTCCAACCTTCACTCAGAATGGTAATAGCGTGAATACGGATGTGGCCTTTCACAGTGACTAAGGGGCCAGCCGATGATAGTTCAGTGCTTTTGATCTCCCAAACAATTCCAGTACGAGTGGAGATCCGACTGTGTATGGAATTTTTAGTATGTAAGTAAGGTGAAACTCACCCTACATGCTTTTCCGATCATTACCCACTGCTAAGCACTGTACAAAGAACACCAGGGCGGCCATGAGCGCTATGGTTAGACACTTCACGAAAGCTTTGAAAGAAAGGTTGCATTTCCTCAATTTGCGAAAGAAACATTAATCAGAACCTACGCATTAGAAGCAGATATGTACAGCAGCTGAGGAAAATCGCTCTGCGATATGATATCATAGATTTTGATTCTAGAAAAGCTTCTTAGTTGGTTATGGAGAGTGCTGGATTTGGAGATTAACATTTCAGCCGTTGCTGCTTGCTTTAAAGGGAGATCACAAAAAGGGATGTATTTGTGGCATTCATTGATGAGATAAGAAGATAAGACTCATCATCAAAAAAGGAGTCTTACTGCTTCTCGATATCTCCTACCTAATAACCTCAAAGAAAAGTGTCTAGTGTTCACAATATGGTCCCTTTGCAAGAGGAAATTCAAAAAAAAAAAGCCTCAAAGAGGACGTTGCAAGAAGTGATTCGGAAAAAATATGATGCAAAAGCAGTTTGAAGAATCGAGAAATATATTTTTTTTCTATTAATTATCATTTATTGCGCCATGCATTGGCCCACCATGAAGAACCTGAAGGGAGGATGTGGTGTAGAGGCACGTATGCAGGCCTGTCGCTGAATGTCCGAAGATGGAATTCCAGATCTACGCTTGTTCAGGCCGACCAGGCCTTCCCTCGGGGTCGGGGTCGGTTGGTAGCTATTACTAAGATTCTGAATAAATGTAGAATGAGGAGCGCATCCCAGAAACAAAGAAATTTGGAATCCTAAGCAAGAAATGCGAAGGTATTGTGAGCAACCGATGGAGTAGGGGAAAGGGAGAATAGGGCGGAGTAGGGTTGAAGGACAGATGAATGGAAGCCTGCATAATAAATATTGACGAAGAGGATACTTTATATAATTAGATGTTATAAAAAGGTGGAGCCAAAGTAATAAAGCCTAGCGGACATATGGGCCATGCGAGTGGTTTCTTCAAGCCAATCAATCTCTCCATGTCAAGAATTTGGTGTATCTTTTGTAGATTTGATGAGATCATGTAAAACTTTGATAAGTAAGGTTCGGCTTATGAATCCAATGACGAATCCAAAAAAGCCTACATGTAACTAGGATGCCTAATGAGCACTTTCAAAGAGAAAGACTGAAGTGTCATGAATTTTGTGGAGATACTCGAACGAATAAGTTGAGAAGTGTCCCAGTTTTCTGCTTTCCGGGTTTTACTCAGGAAATTCCTAAAATGGGGTTGTCAAGTAAATTTTGAGCTCTTCAACTAGATGGAGTCCATTAAGCTTTCTTCAGGAGCAGCTGCCATGAGCACAAACCAAGTAATTCATCAATCTAATCCCTAGAATGACATAAATGTGTATGAATGAGAGCTCAGAGTGGTGCAAAAGTGGCGAAGAAAAGTGAAAAGCTGCGTATTTAGAGAAATTGACGATCATTCACTGAAATTAGGGGTTGGACAAGAACGAGACGGCAGAAGTTACATGGAAGGGGTGTTTGGACGAGTTGTCCAAATGTGTGTGCCATTGCTCATACCTGGCTACAGTAAGCTGTACGTGTGTGTCCAGGTGCGAATGTGATACAATTTTATCAGTCACCACAATGCCGAGAGAACTCGTCCCTTTTCGGGTGTGTATGTCGGCTGAATGGGTTTGGGGCCCTTATCAAGCCCTATCTAGGCCGTTTTTCAAACCACAGCATCCCTTGTAATATCATCATTGGTACGATAGAGCTATCTAGCCATTGAAGTTTCTGTGACCGCGCACTTACGAGTGCATTCAATAGGTGAACCATTGAATATAAAGTCAAGAAGGAACTTTCAAGTCTGGGAAGGCTAGGGTAATCCTCTCATAAGCCTATTTTCCTATCCATGACCAATCCTTTTCCACAGTCAATATCGCCTTGCGCTTTTCCCAGGAAAATTAGCTCGTCAACTGCCTTCCAAAAAGTCTAGATCGACCCCGAATATACTGCCACTCCATAAATAAGTCAATTACCAAATTGCTCTACGAGTTGTTGTATGACTGACAGAGAAGGGGGGCCATTTCTAAGCAAAAAACGAGGGCCCCCTGCCTTGCGGTATTCCGGGGAATAGGAAACTGAAGAGCAGGAGAGTACACGAAAATGCTTAGGTTTTTACCAGTATCATATTCAAATGCCTTGAAAATGGTGGTCATGTTCAAGACTGAAAGAAAACTGCTTTGTATATCACCCTCAGGAAACGAAATGAGGGCTTCCATAACGATGAAAGAGAATAACACATAGACCAATAGGCAAGCTGCCTCATGCAGGGATTAGAGACAGTTGAGAGAAAAAAGAGAGAAAAGCCATAGCGGGAAGGCAGCCGCGAAACACGAACATACTGAGAAATAATTTCAATATTGTGTTCGGGACCCAAAGTTGCTGTGGAATTGCAAGTTCCGAGAAAGTCACACAAAGACTGAAGGGAGGAGCCGCCGAGGACCAAGGCTTCACGAAAAATGATCCTCGTGGGACGTGAACTATGTGGCTCTTCCGCTAACTGAATGGCTTCCGGCTGGTTACCCGTTGCTGTTGTTGGTTGGAAGATGTCGTGGCCCAAAGCATAGCAAGCAATTTCGCTGGAATAAGATGGTAGAGAATAGATTCTTCTATAAGCCTACTGACGAATGCAAATGGTTCTCATAAGGCATTGTCATAAATGGGATCGTCCTAGACGGGAAGGCATGCCGAAATGAGGACGGACGGATGTAGGCAAGGACTTAAGCTGTCCGAGAAATGCCCTCGAGGCTGGGACAGATAAATCATAACCGCTCTTACAAACATCGCTCGCTCAAAGTTTTTAAAATCTTTCCAAATGGGAACTCTCTCTCAGCCAGGCCAGTGTTCAATAATTCATTTTACCGGCCCACCTCAGTTGTAGGGCCCTATAGAGCTATCCAATCAGTCTTTTGTAGATGTATGCTTTTCTATACCAAAGTATCATTAAAATCGAATCCAGAAATCCTCATTACGGTAATAATAAAATGTTTGGAAAGACATCCACGTGGGCAGCCTTTGGGCAGGTCTCGCAGTAGATGTTTGGACAAGCTTCCCAGTGTGCCCGAAATTGCCTTCCTCTGTCGCCATGGGTTACGATATTGTTCAGATTTTCAGCATGGGTTACCTTTTGCACGGTGCAGCCTGACAACTCGTCCGCTCCTGGGTGGGACTGTCGACAAAGCTGGTCTTCAAGCTCTTATTGCTCCCCATATAGACCGTTGTTTGACCCGACAGCGCCCTATATGTATATGTAACACTCTTGGGGCGACAGGGTGCTCCATTCAGAGACCTCCGAAACCATTCTTTTCGAGAAGAGTCATATAATAGAGCCAAATACGGGGAGCGAAGAACACAGGCCTATGTACTGACTGTATTGGCCCGATCTCCTAATCATGGCGCACCCATATCATATCACATCGAATCAAATCCCATCATCAGTATCGAAAAGGAGTCGAATTCTGGTTTTGTAGTTAGGAGGTAAATCCACAACGTAGTTCATTGCTTCTTAATTGAGATTTTCAATTTGGCATATGATTCTATTATCTTTTATCAGCATAAACCCTTTGACACGCTTATCATATACTTTTATTGCTGTTATTAGAACGTTTCACATGCTATCTAACAACTATGTATCGCGAAGTTTATACGGAAGGGGAAGCTGTAGAACTTTATTGCTCTTTCTGTTCAGTACCATTCCTTCCGATGAATGGTTCTCCTTCTAGTCCTTGGTGAAACTGTCCTCTTGGGCCTTCGCGGAACTGCCCTTCAGCTCCTCCATGGAATTGTCCTACTGGGCCTCTGAATGGTTCTTCTCCTGATCCTTGGTGAAATGGTTCTTCTCCTAGTCCTTGGTGAAACTGTCCTCTTGGGCCTTCGCGGAATTGTCCTTCAGCTCCTCCGTGGATTTGCCCTTTTGGGCCTCTGAATGGTTCTCCTCCTAGTCCGTTGTGGAACTGTCCTCTTAATCCTTCGCGGAATTGCCCTTCAGCTTCTCCATGGAATTGTCCACCAAATTCTCTGAATGGTTCTTCTTCTAGTCCGTCGTGAAACTGTCCTCGTGGGCCTTCGCGGAATTGTCCTTCAGCTCCTCCGTGGAATTGACCTTCTGGGCCCCTGAATGGTTCTCCTCCTAGTCCGTCGTGGAACTGTCCTCTTGAGCCTTCGCGGAATTGCCCTTCAGCTCCTCTATGGAATTGTCCTCCTGGGCCTCTGAATGGTTCTTCTCCTAGTCCTTCGTGGAACTGTCCTCGTGGGCCTTCGCGGAATTGTCCTTCAGCTCCTCCGTGGAATTGACCTTCTGGGCCCCTGAATGGTTCTCCTCCTAG